ACTTTCTATCGGCCGCATAAGGGATTTATTCATATCGTTTTCGTTTTTGCTTTTATTATTGTATATACTTTTTTATATACTTTTTACACTGTCTGTTGTTTACATAGTTAGTATTTGTATATTTCTCGTAAGGGCACACTTAATTTGGAGCCTCGCTCTGTTGTGTGTCCCGCACCCTTGTCCTCCGTTCTCTTCTGTGTCTTGTTCATATGTATATTTTAGTCCTTTTAGTATTGTAAGTATGGTGAAAGCGATTAAATAAATAAATAAATAAAAAAGGTACGAAGTGCCAAAATAGTGGCGATTGCTTCATATTCCATTCTTATCCTGCGATGAGTACATCCTCAAGAGGGAGAGAAAGTCAATCTAGAAAATAAAGGACATGTTAAGTAGTTTTTCCAGATGGGATTTGAACCCACGACCCTCCGTAATCTAGTCGGATGCTCTAACCACTGAGCTACAGGAGACTCTATGGTGAGCAAGGGTCAATTAGTGGGTATTGACTGGAATCGCATCACGCGGCTACACAGCCAAACATCAGCTAGCGCATAGAAGCTCACTAACAGCATCACGCTGTCACATTAAAGCATCACATGCATTAAAGCATCACATGCAGCCAACCAGCCTCCAAAGTGAGCATGTAACAATGGAATAAACAATTTTCAAAAATCGAGTTCCCAGACGTTGAGTAGTTGCTGAAAATCTTTACATTATAATCAAGTTGATCACAATTTTTTCACCCGGGTCAACACTTGTCGAATTTTAAGACAAGGTTTTCATCAAACTGTTTGGAAGAAACTTAAAGCTCTCCTTGAATGAAGGTTACATTCTTTCTTGAAATTTTCGGACCATCAAATTAAAAAAGAGACCATACAGTAGGATATGATATCGACAATTTGTGATATGCTTGTTAATTAAAGAAGTCTCGTGTATAGTATTTTTTTTCTGCTTTAATCAACCTAACCTGTCACATTGGGAAATAAGCGTCCGCAGAGTAAAGAGCAGCACTAGCAATTATTGTAAGAGGTAATATTATCTCTCACTTGGTTTCCGGAAATTTTTCGTTGCAAATAAACATATCACTCAGAATTCATCAAATGAGTGCTCGTTATTGTTACGGTATAATTCAACCGACAGAAAAACACCCTCATCCTATAAAATTGAGTACTTTAGTTAACGACGTGTAATGTTCTTACGTAGGAGCTACCCCAACTGATAATACAGTTACTGTCCTCAATATCTTACTTAAGCCCTCCACGAACTGCATCTTAGCTCATTACCGCCCAAACTTATAGTTTTCTCCAAAGTTCCTTGAAATTAACAATCTTCCACAATAGTTCTCTCTCTTGGTATGGCTTTCCAAACAATCGGTCACTTCCGACGACCAAGACCTTACATACGAGAAGAAGAAGACGTTAATTTCCCACGCACGAGATTACTGTGTGGTAGATGTCGTCTCTTGGGGTGGGATGGGTGGGTTTA